CTGGAAGGGCTCGATTTACGTGGGTTGGATGCAGCTTCGTTTGGTACGATCTCTTCAGGTACCTCCTTCGGCGCAAACTCTTTAAACGCTTCCTCTTGCACTACCTCCTCCAGCACGGCCCACTCAAGGATGTGTAGGCCACAGTCGTACAAATTGTTGTCGACGAGGAGAGCGAGATAATGTCGAGCTACCAGGTAGATCTTGGGGATCTTCACCAAGTACTCGCGGGTGAGCTCGTCAGGTCGCGGGACAAGCTTAGGAAGAACTACGAAGTGAGAAAGCAAGGGTTAGGAGACAAGACAAGACTAGGAGACCTAGAGTGACTAAGGAGAATGAGGCGTTACCTAAGTTGTTGAATTGGTGAGGAACCTACCAACTCAGCTCACCTTCACGATCCTTAGCGACGCAATTGCCGTACACGTAGAACCAATCCTTCTTCGAGTGTTTGATGGAAGAGGGTCCTCTGACTAATTTCCCAACACCCTACAAAGCTGTGAGATAGAACCAACCTGGTTTCCTTGGGGGGTTTTTGACACTATAGAAAGAAAGGAACTGGCTCAAGGAAAGGTAATCGACACCTAAGGTGTCTACCCCGAGCCCCCACCAAAGCATCCAACAGCCAAGAAGGATGCCCCATCCGTTGGGTGTGAGCTGAGCAGGAGCTATGTTGATCATTTCAAAGAACTCTTGCGCGAAAGGGTGAAGGGGGAGCCTAACCCCAAACTCGAACATTTTCTCATAAAAGGCGACGTGCCCTTCGGGAGAATTCTCTATTGTTTCATCTCTCCTAGGAAACTTCATCCATATCGATGAAGGGATGTCATACCTATCCCTGAAGTAGGCCAGGCAGTAATCGCCTAGGTCGGATGGGCTACCTTTAGGCTTTTCCGAGACCCTAGGGGAGGGGCGTATAGCTAAATAGCTAAGCAAGGAGTCACATCATCCCCGTTCGCGGGGGAGGAGGACCTGTTACTGGAAGACTCGGTGGAGGACGACCTGTTGGAGGCCGACCTACCGCTCGAAGACGCTAAATTGAGGATCCCTCCAAGGGCTACCTGAAGCTCTCCTCTGAGCTCCTATGCCCTGACCTAGAACTACTACCCCTATCAGACATCACTTGCGACCTACTTGCGAAATGAAATGAAGGAAGACGAGTTACTGATTTCTGCACGAGAGCAAATGGGAGTCTTGAAAGCGTAAAGTGAGGGGAAAGCCCTCAAGTATATATATATGAAATGGGAAGCGATCTCCATCATACACGTGTCACCTCATGAGCGTCCCAGATCGACTCCCAAAAGCGATGGTTAACTGCCTGAGAACACCTCGAAGGTCGCGTCCGACGTGAAACCCCTTGGCGACTATTAAAGGCCCCTGTCGAGGAGACTGATTGGTCCACGTCATCCTCGTCAGCTCAGAAACAAGATCCAAATACAGGTCGTCCGCAACAACCTCTTAGGTAGATGACCTGTCACCCGTCCGGAGAGGGGGCCAATGTTGGGGGGTCAAACTGTGGACACTCGACCTGTTCACAATTTCCACAACAGGTTGCCCGCGACAACTTAGTATGAGAAACATGGCACCCAGACTCGCCTAATGGAGCAGGGAACGGACCGATCCATGGCTGGGACCGAAGGTCGCTCGGGGGAACCCAGCTCGAGCAGGACTATACCCTGATGATTGCTATATACTCCAGGTATGAAAATCTGTCCGACACTGATCTGTTGAGCTCGGACTCTATACTGATTTGGGCGTTGGAGTGGCTTTCCTCCTTGCAGGTACCCCAAGAACCGCTCTAATTGTTGCTGGCCGACCTCCCAAGTCGTCATACGTACCTTGTCAGATTTTTGCGTCAAACAGATGTTATATTTTTTTTGAATAAGTTTAATAATAAGCCATATGAAAAAAAAAAACTGAAATGTGTGTGGGTAGTTGAAGTGAAAATGTCCTAAAAAGACTTGAATTTAATTTATATTTTTTAAATTAAAATAAAAATATGACAATTTAGGTATTATCTATCATCTAAAACCAGATTTTTAATATTTAGACTTCTATAATTAAGAGTAACACCATAAATCTAACAATTAGCTGTAGAAACAAATTGACCGAAGCCTTTTAAATTCAATATTCTTGATTCTGTCACAGCGAGCATAGCTCAATGGTAATTGACATATATCTCCAATATGAAGTTGAGAATTCGATCACTCACCCTATATGTTGTACTAAAAAAAATTCTCATATTCGAACTATTCACATCCTTATATCAATTCTATAAATGTATTGTCAAAGCGAGCATAGTTCAACGGTAATTGAAATATACCCCTAAGAGGTTGTAAGTTCGAACCACACCCCTTCATGTTGTACTAAAAAAATCTATAAATATATTAAATTATTAATTTTAATGTACTTTGATACTTTTATTTTTCAAAATATTTAACTGTTAAATTTTTAACTCTTTCAAATCCCACCGGTAATTCTAATTCAAGACAAATTTTATGTAATATATATATATATATATATATATATATATATATATATATATATATATATATCAAGATAAATTCATAAATTTTAGAATTAATTTGACAATTTTTTAATATTCAAACTTTTTGTATTCGAAATTTTGACATTCTTACCGTTTGTCAATTTTATGCTTTAAATCAGTAGTTTCAATATATTTTCCTATACTATTTGTTTTTAAAAAGTCAACTATTAAAATTGTAAGACTTTTGTTATTCCATTATTATAACTATTAAAGGTCATGCAATAAATTTGAGAATAATTTTATAACGTTTCAAACTATCATATAATATATTTTATCTTGAAAAGAATTATTGTTTTATTAAAAAATAATATTAAATTTATTTGAACCCTTTACTATAAATATAATTAATTATTTTAAAATAAAAGCTTATAAATTTTTAAAACCAACATTTGATTGTGGGAGGGAGAAAGTTTTCTTCTATTTCTTAATTTTAAATATTAAACATTAGTGTTCATTAAAAGCATTAGTTCTCATTTAAATAAAACTATTTTTTTTTAAAAACCCCAAAGTAACCTTTCAAATTATCATATAATATATATTTTATCTTTTTAAAAAATTATCGTCTTCTTAAAAAATAATATTGAATTTTTGAACCTTTTAATATAACTATAATTAATTAATGTAAAATAACAGGTTGTGAATTTTTAAAACCAATATTTTCAAAGTGAGAGGTGGAAAGGTTTATTTTATTTCGAGTAAAATTTAAATTAAGCTGCATATGTTAGAGTTTTTTATATTTAATCATTAAAACAAAAGAAATATTAAATTTTGTGGGTTAGCTAGAAATAGTCTGTAATGTGAATTTGTGAGGGATATTTTGATTTGAAATGTTAGGTCTTAGATTTTCAACTTTTTAATTGGAAGAACCTATTCGCAATATAACATTTTAAAAGGGAAAAGATCTTCTTTTACAATAATCATTGTCTTCAAGTCATTACCAAATCAAGCACTCGTGTCCCAAAACCTAAAGTAGAACATGAAAGAACAGGTCAAGTGAATATGTATATATAGTTAAATATATGTTTTAGTCCGGAATGTTTGAGCGCTTTTTCAATTTAGTCTCTCACTCTTGATGAATGTTGTTTTGGGACGAAAATCACATCGCCGCGTAGAGGACAAAGAAAGATCCATCTGGACACCTCCAAAAAATCAAGCCACCTTAGACGGTTTGGAGGTGACATCCTTGGTGATCATAAATTCGTTATTGGAACCATCCTACGATGCGATCAGTATTTGGGTCAGATCCATAGTTCAGACATGACGGATCTATCCTCCAACACCCGTAACGGTTCGTCGGATTCCTAACCTATAAAGAAAGGGCACCACTTCTACGGACAAGTATCGTATTCTATGTGGAACTTATTATTGAGTTCGAGCTGATACAGACTTAAGTGTCGGAGTGTTTGCCTATCTTGTGCAAGTCATTCCTTGACGAAGCGGGTCAATCATTCCACGTGTTCGACCTTGACCAAGTTTGACCTTATTATGTTTGAAGCATAAACATTTGGCATCGTTTTTGGGAAAGGACATTCAAAGTCATTCCTACTACTGAAAGCTGAAATGACACCACCAGCAGTGTCTATTGGCTCGAGCCATCTGAGTTGTTGCATCGACAATGGTGACCCAAATCTCCAGCGTGAGGTGAACTCCAAAAGTATCCAGGATCGTGTATAAGGTGATCATGCAGGCAATCAGCTCCATAGATAAACTCGCACCGCTCACCCACCACTCCCTCCTGTTCCTCCTTATCAAGGCAAAATTGCTCAGCGAGCATGAGGTTGGGCTGTAAAGAAGACAGCACGGAAGCCCGATCGTCAAAGGATCCTCGCTGCCATGCAGCTCGAACGGGAGGACATGTGTAACCATGTACGAACCATGGAGGAGTCATATAATAACCTGTTGCACGCAACTAGAGCGGGTTCCCATTCTCGGAAGTGCGCATCGAGCACCTGCAACATCCGAAAATTGTTTTTAATGAAAAGCAAGTTTTGATGAGTTTTGATCATTTCTTCTGCAACGATGAAGTAAATCTCAGATATATCAACATTCATATTAGGTAGATCAAGTATATCGTTGGTATATCAGTACTCATTACCAGGTATATCAAAGATACATCAAATCAAGTATATTAGTGGTATATCATTTGTTTGAACTCCATGATCATTAAGGTTATGTTGCGCTTTTGCTTTCTTATGCGTGGATTGGACCCATAAATTTTACTGTTTTAAAAAAATTGAAAATTGGTTGCTATTAATTTTTTTTTCCTACTTGTGCTAGTGTTTCTTTAATAATTATAGGAGACAGTTTTTTTTTTTAATTTTATTTTTCGTATAAACTAAAGATTAGTTGATAGTTGATATTACGAATGCAATATATTTTATTCCTAATATAATTTTCTTAGGAAAATGAAAATGAAACTACATCTAATTTCCAAAAGATAATAAAAAATAGCCACTAATGAGTCACATCCACATAAGCATTTTATATGTTTAGCATTTTATATATTTAACCCAAACATAATGATTAAGCATCATCACTCCTTACATGAGAATAACTCTTATTTATTTTTCACAAATACAAGATTAAGTAGACAAAGATACATAATCAATACATAAAAACGACTTACTTAGAAAACACAACTCTCACATAACATAATAAGCTACCAAATGACATAGTGATGAAGCTCATATTTAGACATAAAAAGGTGTTCATTTAAGGTGAGATTCGATGTCTTTGGTGATCCCGTTCATGAGGTCAATGTACTTGTAAGGATAGGGAGAACCATCATCAAGTTTCTCATATTCGATGGTCATAAGTGCCAAGCAATGTCTGGGACCCTTTGGCACAACTTGATACGATGGCTTGAAGGTTTTGTAATGCTTGAACACATCTCCTTCCAATCCGACCAGGACTACTGTCAATTTATCGTCATGAAATTCCACTCGCTCTTTGAAAACTCCAACCTCTCCATCTTAACAAATCACACACAGAAATAAAAAGAATGATTGTCTAAGATCAAGGTCGTCATTCACATGAAACAAATGAAAACGAAAAACACATACCAGCTGTGGTGTAATTCCAGATCTTGATAGAGCCGTGGTCGTGGCTGTCCCAGTCTCCTTCATGAACATCCACTTGTTGAATGAATTTTGGAGAAATATTTGGAACATGAAAACATTGATCTTTAAAGACCTTGTAATATTTCTCTGCAGGAGCATTTATCTCCAATTCACTCACTATTTTCCCAGCAAGAGACATGGTTTCAAAACTCCTTTTGATTGCTTTACAAAATACACTCACTCACAATAATGCACCATATGCCTTCCCCTTTTTATATAGTGATGAATTATATTATCAAATTTGATGAATTATATTATATTATTAAATTATTTATTATTATTATGGTGGTAGAGGCCAGAAAGGTAAGCACTGGGTATGTTCATGTCAATCATTTCTTGTAGGAAAATGAATGTCCCCACATTTTTTGATTAGGCTAATATTAAGTGGATGAAAATATTATTTGAATCTAGTTATTTAGGCCTCCTTGGATAATGTTACCGTTTTTTTTAATGAGTTGTTTCTAATTTTTTTAAAAAAGACTAAACATTCTAGAACTAACTATCTTTATTATTTCTCATTTTTTGGGAATATTCTCAGAATTGTATAGAAATTTTAAAAACAGCCAAAAACAAGTTTTTTATTTTTTGCTCCCATTTCAAATTTGTTACAAAACATATAATTAAAAAGATTGTTTTATCATATATGAATTTATAGACGTTGGGTCACGCAATTCATTTTTGTTTATTAAAAATTAAGAAATAGAAACAACAAAACATTAACATTACCAAATAGCCCATTTTTTTGGTTATTAGTTTAGTTGATAAGATACCAATTCTTTTTTTTGAGGTGGAAAAAGTTTAAGAAAAAAGGGTAAGTTTGTTCTTGTTCAAATATTGTTTTTTAATTAAATTTTTTATCCTTCTAAAAAGTAGGTAATCCATGGGAGACCACCTCATGATTTTAAATATCTATGTTGATGGAAATTGTCTCAATTTTTATAGATATATTGATAAAATGTCAAGTTCAAACCATATCTCAAAAAAATATAAAATAGAAAAACATAAAAATTGTTTGAATTTACACATAATTCTTTCACCATTTTAGAACAAGTCATAAAATTCTTATAATAAATCATAAAATTCTTATAATTATTATTATGTTGACACTAATAATATTTTGTTCATACTTACTTTTATATTTTGTCGACTTTTAATCATAGAATAAAATATCTGATTCAAAATCTCCTATATCGATATCCAGTGCATGGTCATATGAAAATGATGCATCAATGGAAGTTTAATACCTTCAATCATACCAAGTATGATTAATAAAAAAAAAATAGTTAATCAAGCTTGTTTTCAAAGATATTTGTTCTAAACTCAAATAATTTTAGGAGACCATTAAAATCACTCCAATCACGGGTGTAAATGTAATTATGCAGAGGCAGGGCATTATATTTTATATTTTTTATATTTTATATAGATATCGTGACCTCTCAAAACTTTTAAAATATTGATTGCGTGTCGTATTCTATTCTGAATTTATGACCATATTTTTTTTATAGGCCCTCTCCTCTTTTCTTTTTTTAACTCAGATGGTTATTTATTATTTTTATTAAAAATTGATAACTTTTTTTTATATAGTTTTATCCTTTAAAACTATTTTGAATCAATTTAGTAGTTAATAAGTTTATATACATAATAGAAGTCAAGTGACCTTATTATTTTATCTTTATTTGTTTCAGAAAAGCTAATGGAGTAGGTAAATATGTAAAGCTTGGTAAAGTTTGGAAAATTTTGGTTACGCTTGTTTTCTTAAAATTCTGGTAAAGTTAAGAATATATTATTTTAAAAAAACAATCACTATAGCATTTTTTTAATAAATTATAAATCATTAACATAATAATGATAACTGGTATAAATTGATGTGATTCTCATTAATTAACATAAATTGACAATTCATTTGGATATTTAATTAACTACAAGAACAATGATTACTGATTAATTTTATTAACTGTAATTTCTTTTATTAATTTTATTAACTGTATTCTTCTTGGAATATTTTATTTAACTTTTGCTATATATGTATGTGCTCCTAATTAACTTTTTTTCTTTTTGATATGTTTGGGTAAGCTTGTACGAACTTCGACCAATTTTATCTATAACCACATGATCCTACAACATTTTATGGTGAGAAACACATGAGAATTAATTTTTAAAGTAGGTGACAATAATATGAGATTTGAACCCACTCGATTTACTTAATCCCTTTATACCAATGAGCTACCCATGATAGTTACATTGATTTGACGTGTTTAGCCTCCTAATTAACTTTTTTTAAAGTTTATATAACTTTCATGGGTGCCTACACTTATTTTATTAGGAATAAAACGACGTGTCAGATAAATTGATAATTATATTGGTTGATTTCGAAAATATATTACTTTAATAATATATTTTTGGGTGATTAAGACTTTCTCTTCTCCCTTGTTCTCTTCCTTTCTCCTTCTTCTCTCTTCCCCTTCTTCCGCTAACCACATCGTCCCCATTGTCTATTCGCTGTCGTTTGTCGTCTTGTCTTGTCACCCACTGTCTTAACTGCCTCCATCTTTTCGAACCAGCCGCCCCTCTCACATATTTTGAAGAGAAACGAGACAGCTTTCGTTCCTCTTCCACTAAGAACTCTTTCACTTCCTTCAAGTAGGAGAGAAAGTTTCTCTTCTAGATCTCTAAGAGGAATGTTCCTCTTAAGAGAACGGCGGTCAATTTTTAATCGGGCGGTGGCGCGGTAAAGACGATGGGTGATGCCAACGAAAAGGTGACAGCGACGGTGAGGTTAGTCGAAAAGGGGAAAGGAAGAAGAAGAGGAGAAGGGGACAGGAAGAGAAGAAAGGGAATAATGAGAAAGTTTTGATCACCCACAAATATTTTCCAAATGAGCAAAACAACCATCAATTTAACTACCACTTCATTTTAATATTAATCAACCAACGATAAAAACAGATGAGAGACCATTTTGAAATATTTCTCGAATCTCAAAGAACTAAAACATAGTAGGACATAGCGCTGAACGTTTAAATGAGGAGCATAATTTTCAAAATATTTACAAATATGAATCTTCACAAAAGTAATTGCATACCTAGCACATTTTCTTGAAAAAGAATTACAAGGGCAAATTACATGCATGTTGATCCCTAAAGTTTTTACTTGAACTTAATTGAACTTTTTTTTTTTTGTTCGGAAAGTTTCAAAAGAGCAACACATTATTCACGTTAGAGTTTAGTTTCTATTTAGTCGTTATTACTTGAGTTAATCATGAGCGTTGATACCTAACAACAAGATAATAGGACACATAATTTATCGATTAGACTTTAAAGGTGTTGTCATAGATTATTTTAAAAAAAGTTGGCAAAATTTATTATTTTTTATTCTTTTCTCACTTATGATACGGTTTTCTCTCCTTCCTCCTCCTTTCTCCCTCTTCCCCACGACTCATAGCCACACAAACCAGCAGACGCCTTCTTCATCCCAATGAACTTTTTCTTTCGATGTTAAGGCTTTAATATTGCTTTGTTTCTCAAGGATATTGTCCGCTTCATGAACACCAACCCAATCTCCACGAAAAGAAGTAAAAAAAGAATCATAATAAATGAAAATAAGAGGCAACTTTCACTGGAGAGATTATTGACCGCATCTCTGGATCATATTCAAGATCTAGAACGAATGAGCCAGATCTGAAACGATTTTAGATTTAGGCAAACACCTTTGTGTTCTAAAGAATAAAACTTGTATCTGAATTGATCAATAGAAGCTTCCTCTTGACTACTCTTATATTTTTTACGACTAGGGGAGCAAAATATATAAAAGAAAATAGAGAGAAGACCGTTAAAGATCCCATATTGAAAAGGTAACTGACTTAATAAGAGTTTATAATATAAGTGGACTACTCCTCTCATTATCAATTGATTTTGAACCCCATAAATATTGATATGGTATCATTAACTCAAAAGTTCAAACAAGCATTCGGTCCAAAAATGAGATCCAACCAAGATTAGAAGGGACATGTTGCTGCCTTTAGCACCACAACATTGTTGCATCGTAGTGTTGCATCATAGTGCTACAATGCTGTCACAATTTTCAAGAAAATAAAAAAAGTACGTTGTCGGGTTTTCGAGCGGTTTCTATTCATCAAAGGTCTTTTGAATTTTGAAAAATATTATCCTATTTGTATTTAATTTTGTGTCTATTATAAATAGGATAGACGAACTCTTTTGAGAGATAAACATAAATAAATAGTGGTAAGAATTTCTTCAAGAAGAGAGAGTTTGAAGCTAAATACTTATGTATCTCTTAGAAAGTTTAAAAGATTTCGTTTATGCAAGAATTGCACAATGTCAATCTATCTCGAACCCGGTCCTTGCTCCGACCTGAAATGCTAAGGGAAGACCTGCACAAGAGGGCAAAATCTCCGACGCTCAAGTCAGTAAGCAGCTCGGACTCAATATTAGGTTCAAGGAGAAATTCGATACCTGATGGTGAAATGAAACCCTCTATTTATAGGTTTAGGTTTCGACAGGGGTCGCGACAGGTCGATACCTTGGTCAAACTTGAGGTCGGATGTATCGAGTTCGAGCAGATCGAACTCGGATATACTCCTGGAAATAACAGGTTGGTTCCTTAACAGGAAATGACAATATTCTCATCTCGGAAGGTTCCGAGATGGAGCTCCATAAGTTTGTTCCTTCAAATCCTCCATCGACGGCGAATCTTCGCCCTCCACGTGACAATAGGATTTTTCATCCCCAAACATGAGCCCCCTCTCTACTAGGTTCGATCTCGATCTAGCAGAGAAGTTATGTTTGTGAAAAAAGACCAATCCATGTGGTGACTTCCGATGCCGCCATAATAATTATTAATGTTGGAAACCTTGAAAACGAAACTGTCATCCGGCGCGCATTCAAGTACCTCTGGCGTTTGGACTTCTTCCGATCTGGATCGTTCAATTTTGGACACGTGTGTGGTGGAGATTAAATCTCGGGTTACTATAAATACCCATAAATCTTGATCTCCACTTTTTACGCTTTCTGAAATCTTGGAGTCCGACCTCATCAGATCGGAATCTTTAGGTCAGTCTCGTTCCTTCACTTTTGTTAAGTTTTCTCTCTTTTTTATTTTCGAAGTCAGGTCGACTTCTTCTAGTTTCTCAAGCTTAAGTAATAGTAGTTCGTCTAGTGGGTCAGCTAGGAATC